CCAGCAATAGTACATTATAGCTGGCGGTATTCTGCATTGCGCTGTATAATGTACAATTGCTGGGTTTTGTAGTCCTCTATAGCTAGTGGTATTCGGCATTGCACCAGTGTATAATGTATTAGTGCTGGGATTTGTTGTAGTCCTCTATAGGTGGTGGTATTCCGCATTGCGCTGTATAATGTATTATTCCTTGATTTGTCCCCTATACAGCGCAATGCAGAATACCACCATCTATAGAGGAATACAACAAATCCCAGCAATACATTATACATACAGTGTATAATGTATTGCTGGAATTTGTATTCCTCTATAGCTGATGGTACATTGTGCTATATATTATACAGAGGACTACAAATCCCAGCAATAGTACATTATACATACAGTGTATAATGTACTATTGCTGGGATTTGTAGTCCTCTGTATAGTATACAGCACAATGTACCATCAGCTATAGAGGAATACAAATCCCAGCAATACATTATAGAACACCATGTGTGGGGAAAGTGCAGGCTTACCTGAGCAGTCTTCCAGCAACTTGTTTCTGAGATCAGGCCTGTCGGCGGCTGTCATCCACCCGCACCTGCTCCTCCTTACCTCTTCTCCCACGCGTCCCTGTGCCGATCATGGATTTGGGCGGGCTGTGAGCGTGAGGCGGGGAGGAGGTCCGGTGTGTGGATGCGGGCGGGCGGGTCTGGCAGTGGCGAGCGTGAAGAGGTATGGCGTGTGTGGAGCCGTGAACAGGGCCAACCAATCGGAAGTCGATTAATCGATGATTGAAAAAGTTGACAACTTTCAATCATCGATTATGTCGATTAGTTGTTGCAGCCCTAATTTTTATCGGTGACTAATGGCTCTAAAATGATTGCTCTCACTCCGACGTTTGCCGTTAATTACAACGGCCGGCCGGGAAGCTACTCGTCGTGCTCCACCGTCCTCTCGTCTGTGACGAGTGGATTTTTCAAGCCCTGTATTATATATATCTATATATCTAGATATCTAGATATATAGATATCTATATAGATTTATAGATATCTATATAGATATCTATATAGATTTATAGATATCTATATATAGATATCTATATATCATCACTTCCTGCATTCAGTGTCACTTTCAAGCTACAGAAGCTGATGAAGCAGATCTCTGCTTCATCAGCTTCTGTGGGGGTCCCTAGGTGACATTAGGGGTCTTGGAGACCCCTGATGTCTCCATAAAGAGGACGTGTCATGTAAATTGGCTATCACATAGGGGGCTTCTTATCCTCCCCCCATGTGATAGCAATAAAGTTGTGTAAAAAAAAGTAATACAAAAATTAAAGAATATGGGTAAGAATAGATGTTTTATAACATAAAGTAGGGGAAACTTTTTTTTTTTAAATTTAATTTACCGTACTTTTTTAATGTTAACATAAATTGCAAGGCTATACTTATTTTATCACCCCGGATGAAGGGGGCATGTCTTGGCCCCCAAAACATGTTGGCATTGTGTACGATTTAAAATTAGAATAAACTTCTATCTGGACTATAACATCACGGTGTGGCACTTCAATTGTAGTCCAACCCAACAATCAATACCAGACTAAGTCATACAACTGTTTAATTGGTTACACATAATCACTGTTTAGAAATTGGTTTTGCTTTCCTCTGTAACTGGAATAATTTGAAAACGCGTACTTAATGCTGTCTCACCTTTTTAATTTAGGAAATGTAGCAGTGAGGCCAGCAATTCAGAAGATCAGAATACCCTAACCATGCAGGCAAGTTCTGGACATGCTCATCAGGCGGGAAATATCAACGGTTCCTCGGCTAGTCTTTCTCTTCCCACTGTTCGTTCACCAGCAGAAGGTTCCTGCAATGCTGGAGAAGTGGTAATAAATCTCCGCCCTGCAAATTCTGAGGGTGAAGGAAGGCCTGGCTCTCGACATACCAGACCAACCATACGTTTACACAGTCGGCATGGTCATACACACTCGAATTCCAATGACACGACTGGGCAAGATGATCCAAATAATACAGACAATAGAGAAAACGGCAACAGTATCTCAGAAGTCCTGCATGTCTACCAGTGGCTGAGTAAAAGCTTTCCATATATATTAATATTTAGTGCCAAACTTCTCGTTCAGCACTTAACAGGTAATGTTCTGTTATACTTTGAAATTCAAAGCAACACTATAATCCTAACCATATCAACTAATCATCCAGTAATGAAGTGATTGCGGAGTTCTTTCTTTTGTATAAAGGTGTGTGGATGTGTATGGTGTATCAATCTTTTGTAGTAATAGTGTCCAAATGTGAGCAGTGAAGGAGTAGGTGTAAGGGCCAATTTACACAATGTGTTGGGGCTGTGCTGGGCAGAGTTTCCAGCGCAGCCCCAACGCAAGACAAGGCAATTTGCCTTGTCAATAACAGGCTTGGTTTACACCACTGTACTGCGCACCACAGTGTTGTGCGCTGAAAAAAAAGTACGGCATGCTGTAGTTTTCTTTCAGCACAGTAAAATGCCTCACGGAACAACTCCCTTGCACCCCTCTGTGCCAGTAGAATTGAATGCAGTGTCACTTGTGACTAGGGATGCACCGATATATCAGCACTGTGTCAGGCACCGCACACCAGCCGGTGTGTGTTTTGTGCAGTGGCTGGTGTTAATTGTCCCTAAAGGCCAGTTTAGGCCTAGGACAGGTTATGGGTTAAATCGGGGATATTTTTCTTTTGTTTTGACTGATTTGCTTAAAACACGAGTACTTGCCTGTACGTATCCCTTCATTACCAGGCTATTTTTCAGTTTTTAGTGCTGTGTTATTTTGGCAACTGCTCGGTCATGCAACACCCAAATACATTTTATAACTTTTTTTTATTTTTTACTATATAAAGGGGAAAAGACCAAAACTATTTTTAACAAAATGTTTCTCTTTCTTATAACACTCCTCAAATAAAAATGCCAGGACTACACACACACCCAAAATTACCAATTTTGTTTGAAGGTACAAAAAAATTTTTGTCACAATTTTTTGGAAATGAAGAAACATGCCAGTATTGAGGTGGTTAGAATACAAAACTTGGTTATGGTGCACTAGATGCAAAGTATTATTAATGTGCAGGTCATACACAGAGAGAGGAGGTGAAGGGGTTAATGTACAGGTCACATACTTTGATGAGGGGGGTCAATGTGCAGGATAAGAAAGATGAATATGTTAATTTATAGTTCAGGAGACAGGATGACGGAGACAGAATGGAGATGGGATATACAGGAGAGGAGTTTGGGACAGGGTTTGAACTGTCCCACAATCGATTTAATTAAAACCCCTGACCTTAAATCTGCTGTCTGTGATCTAATGAATCATCCTTAATTCATTAAATCATCCTTTCCCTGTTGTGGGAGAAAGGGAAGAGCTCTAAATGTAAGTACTGACATCGCTGTGATGGGCTGTGTGATCGATGTGATTTGCCATCATGACGCATAGAGTCACTGTGATTGGCTCTGTGCATTTTGGTTGTGATCTGTGCTGCCAGGCATGCGTTTCTAAACACAGCCACCTCCCCGTTGTTTTTTAATATATGGCTGAAGTATCCTGTAAGCATAGAGGCTGCCATTGCTGACGTATCTGAAAATGCTAGTTTCCTGTCTATGGTGCGGACTTGCTGGCTTCAATACTTATTCATTGACCCAGAGAAAGTAACTGTATGTACAAATCTGTTCTGGGTCACTGGCTCAAACTATTGAAGCCAGCAAGGTAACCTTGATGGAACTCGTGGGTAAGGTTTCCTTGAAAAAGTCTGACTGATACCCAAGTTTCGACCTAGGGTTGTGGGGTTTTTAGGCCATGTTGTGGGTATTTTAATGCATGGTAAAAGAAAAAAATTAACACCCAATCAGTATGAATAGTGTGTTTTGGTGAAATTTTCTCTGTTCTCTGTCAGTTTACACACCATCATGGTTTTAGCCCTTGTTCACAACTAGCTGTTTTTACGTACACACACAGATGCGCAAAACATAAAAAGCAATGCATTGCTATGGGGCTCGTTCACACCTGCATGTTCGTAAGCATGCAAAAACGCGCAACACGGGGAAAAAGTCCCCAACAGACTGTAGTGTAGCCGCAAACTTGCAAAACCATACATCTCTTAGAAACTCCGTGTTATGATGTGCAAACAATTGCGCTGAATTTCAAACGCCTAGGTGTGAATGAAGCATTATGCTTTTTTAAATGGACTTTTGTTATAAAATACAGTATTGGAGATGGTGTGATTTAATTGGGTGCCAATCCACCTCTGATCCATAAAATGACATCACAGGCCACCCTCCATCTGCTCAGATAAATAGCAGAAGGTGCATCTCCTTACCTGGTAGCATTGGTTTATTGTCTGGCACTACCAAATGTGTCATTTTCAAACACCTATTTTATTTATTTATTTTTGGTCTGCCTACAAAAGATCTGTGTATTTAAAGGACAACTATTTGGACAGTAAAATATGTAGTTTGAGCTTGGGTGTGACACTGCAGCTGTCGCATGTGGGCTCCATAGCTCGGAGAACTGTGCAATCACAAACCACTGATCACTCAGCTCACAGTTTCTCCCAGCAGAGGGAGGTGATGTCAGTCACCGCTCCCTGCAGGAGGAATTCCCCCTCCCCTCTCTGTTCCTCCAGTGCTCATTGGAGGAAGAGATTGGGGAGGGGGTGGGGATAGCTGGCTCTAGATTGGCAGAGCCAACTGTCAATCCAGCAGTGGGGTGAATCCTGACAATATTGTCGGGTTCCTTCTGGGCTGGTACTTCTGTGACCAAAAAGAGAACTATGGCCAAAAAAGAAAAATAGTTTGGCTATAGTTCTCTTGTAAAGATCCTTCAAGTGCGGCAAACGCTGTCTTGTTTATGTCCTACCATTCTGTTTTTTTCACTTTTGAGTTTCCTGTCTCCTTGATGTTACTTCATGCTTAATTTATTTTATAAGTTTTGTCTTGCCCAGTGTGGAAAGCAAAGTTATTTTCTTTTAATTTGCACTAATAGTTATCTCTTTTAAAGCAACATTTTACAAACAATAGTTACCTTCTCAAAAACTTAAAGTAGATCTAAACCCTAACAAACATTTAATTAGTCAGAAACAGTGTGTCATGAACAGCTGCCATTTTTTTAACAACCTGTTTCACTTTCTTTATCCTTTTTTTCAGTGCTTTAGTGCTTTTGATCTCTCCCAGCCTCTTGCAGCCACATCCTGTCATATTGCACTTTCTCCACCACTGTCTGCATGAATGCAATTGAATGATTTACTTCTAGCGACAGCGATAGACCATGCCTATGCAGTATGTGTCTGCACAGCTGCTTGTAGTCTCCATCAGTGGCACATATGACAGGGTGAGCATGCAGAAAGTGCCTGAACAAGGATCTTCATGGTAGGATTACCTGGTATTATTTTATTAAAAGCTGCAGATCTAAATACAAGATTGGATGCAACCTTTTGAAATGAAATCATCACGTTAAAGCTTATATGTGATTTTAGGGATTGGGTTTAGATCTACTCTGATAGTTTTTTGTTTTCTTTTGCTTAAACTGTAGAAAGTTATACATTTTGATTTTCCAGTTTTGTTATTTTACTAAACATCAGTTTATCATTTTTTTTTATTTTTTTATGTGTTAACGTCTTTTTATTTTATTTTTTAATAGGCATTTCTGTTGGAATTGGTCTGCTAACAACTTTTCTCTATGCAAACAAATGCATTGTAAATCAGGTTTTTCTAAGAGTAAGTAAGCTCACATTTGCGTATAAGTTCTACTGATAATAGACAAAGTTGCCAGTGACTCAAGATCACAACATCTTTTTTTTGTTTTGTTTTCTGGACAGACCTTCTCACTATTTTTTCATGTATTTATAAAGTTGTGATTTACAGACTGGCAAGGTAGAAAAATGGTGAAATGGCTTTTGGAAAATCTAAACAAATGTTCCAGTCCCCAAAAGCAAACCCAAGCAGATATGCTTACATTTCTGGTAAAGTTTAGAAAAATGATAGCTTGCTGATGAAAATATTTGTACTAAGTAATGTGTGTTTGTTTTTTTTTGGGTGAAAGTTGGATTTCTCCATATAACACCATATAACAAGCAGGTTTAGGGCATCCCCTTAAAGTAATTTTGCATGTTTAGCCACCGCTGCAAGCTCACTCCTGTGATGGACTACAATCTCACATTTAGTGTTACTAATTTGTATTGGGATTGTAGTCAATCACAGAAGTGAGCTTGGAGTGGTGGCTACTTTTCAACATACACAGGGACCATGAAGAACAAAAGTAGCCCCCCTCCAGAAGGAAGGACAGTGTCCGCACCCGTTCAGAGATGATTTGAGGATCTACAGCTGAGTGATACTCAAATAAGAGACATTTTTGTTAATAGTTAGGGAACTTCAATGACTTTGAAAATGTTGGTAAATACATTTTGACCAAACTTTGCAAATGGTTACAATTGTACATAGAATACGTTAATCATAGTTTGAAATAATTTTAGATTAGTATGCTTTTTATTAATTTGTGCCACATATTGCCTATATTTTTAGCAATGCATGAATTTATTGTGTTAGGTATTCAGTCAAAAAGATGTTTGATAGCTTACTGAGAAATGTAATTCCATGCCTTTATCACTTGGGTAGTTCTGCAGTATTGTGAGCCTAGTGTTATGTGGCTTTAATTGGTCTGACCTAGCAAACCAGCCTTTTGTTTCATAATGCTCATCATTGAATCTTCATTTTGGCTGCAAATGCACCTGGTCTTTTGGGCTAATTTGCAAATAGACTATACATCTTAACTGTTTAGGTGATTTCAAGGTAAAATATACCGGTCTCAGTCATGCCAATAGTTCCACGCCTCTTAAAATCAATGATCAGTTGTGCTGTTTAGCAGTTCTGGTAATACTTGCCCTTTTTGTAGAGGTTTGTGGCTGGGTAACAAGACTCTCCCTTATGTTCTTGTGTCTGTGCTCTTTTCTTGGCTTCACCTAATTCTTGGTTATTCATTTTATCCTGGCTGAATACCACCTTTAATTTGTATCTGTTTGCCTTCTAATTTTACCATTACTATTGGTGACTCCTCATGTTGACTTGACTGTAGTTCCCATTCTCTTAAGAATCTCCAGCTAATTCATTCATGACTAACAGCCAGCATTTGATAATGTTACTCATCAATGTGTCAGTTTCTGTTTCTAGGCATTTCATTTCAATTTACAGTTCAGTCAATTAAATAAACATGTCACTTCCAACTATTGCCACTGGTCAGAAATACTTAGAGTGTTGAAATAAAGACCCTAAACTGAGCTTTGTAAACTATCCCAGGATTTTCTGATGATTACCTTCAAGGGTATAATTTAACTCCTAATTTTTCCTTTTTTTCTGTTTACTTTTGCAGGATAAGTGTTCCAAAATTCAGTGCATTTGGCTGCTGTTTTATTTATCTGGTTGCTCAGTCCTTTTGTATTACATATTTTCTTCTCAGGCACTTTATTACAGGTATGTCGGCACAAGATGAAAATTACTTATTTTGTCATACTTTGATCTTACTAATACTGCTAATATTTGTTTAATGAAAGAGGGGGGCAATAATCTATGTCCGAAAATATGCCGGTGTTAAACAACTGAAATGCCGTTTTATTAATGCATTTACAGAAAGTAAATTACATCTGCTGCTAGATTAACCATGGATCCTGCACTGTTGCATGTAAACACATCCTGTTGCCTGAGGCTTTTTCTGGTGGACTGTTCAGAAACCGGCTTAGGTCTTTCAGTTTACCTAGTACAATACTGTGCTTATTGCCCTGGGGGGTAGGAAAACATTCAGAACCATTTTTGTATTAATAAAGCTTTGATTTGTTTCTTTGCCTTTATAACTTTTTAAGATTTCATAAAATGGCTTTTTTTTGTGGACATGGTTTGTTATTTCTTGGTTTGTGACTTTTTAGAAATTGTGTTATTAACCTTTTAGTAGTTGTCTTTTTACTTCTTTTTTTTATTTGAAAAAAAGGCTCCTTCTTTAAGCTAACTGTCTTATTTTCTGTTTACCTGTTCATCGATTTTTATCAAGTCATTTTATGCGGTTTATTAAAGAAAAAATGGGGAGTCATTCCCTTGGTAGCCGGCCATGTTTAATTCTGCAGCTGAAGCCAGAAATCTTTTGTCAATCTTTGCTACAATTTGTGTAATTCATCCCATGGTTTGTTTTTTTTTTGTTCTGTGTGCCTGCTACAGTTTTTTTGTGAACTTTCACTTGGATAAGAGTGCTTCTGGATGGCTCAATATCTTTACAATCTTATCATGTTTTATAAGATAATTAAAGTGACTTCATAGAAAAAAAACTGCTATGGGTGCCTGCACATACCTGCAGTCCCCCTGCTACACCTGTACACTGGGCTACCCTGATTAGTCACTGCTTCCAGGTAGCATCAAAGCTTGTCTGATCACTCCCACCTCTCATACATTCCTATTGGTTTATCACTGTGATGGACTCAGTGGCATCACAAGGGGGGTGCGGCCCACACCCGGTGACACCAAAATGACTGTCAGTCATTTTGGTGTCCCCTCCCCCCTATGAAAAGTCGGGCACTCGGTCACGGGCCGAGAGGCCGACAGTGTCAGGAGAGAGGAGGGGACCCGGCAGCATACCTCATCCCGCCGCGTGAACGGCCCCTCCTCTCTCTGCCGGCGTCCATCACAAAGATGGCCGCCGGCAGGTGTCAATAAGACGACCCAGCATGCGCAATTACGTTTATCGCACACGCGCAGAAACGTCACGCGCATGCCGGTCTCTGCTTTTGGGACGCCCCTGGATGGACTGTCTGATACTGGCCAATATCGATGCTGGAGCTTTGCTTGTTTAAATGGCCTGGCATTTGGCTGTAAAAGCAACGTTTTGCGGAATGTTAAACGTATGTGCAGGTACTTCGAGGTAACTGCATTTTATACCCACAAGAAGGTTTTTTTTTTTATTTGCCAGTGTAACTAGATGTAAGTATATGTGCACCTTAAAGTTGAACTCTGGGATTGTTTTTTTTTAATCCCCTTGAAGGGCCCCCCACTATGGTTGAATACTATTTTTTTCCTAGAGGTAGAGGAATCGGGTGTAATTCTTACCTTATTTCAAGCTCTAGGAGGCTCTGGCATGTTACTATTCTCTCCATTACTCCCGATTGTGGTTGGCCGCTCGCCGTCCTCGCATATAATGCAGGGTTATTGTCCTTGATGTCCACTAGCCAGGAGTGCCTTAGAGAGGAGGCATCGGGGACCAGTTGCACAGATGGAAGGAACCTGCCGGAGCGAGAAATAAGTATTACACCCTATAACTCTGCCCCTAGGCAAAAACTAACATTTAATCCTTGAAGAGCAAATTTCTGGAGTTCAGCTTTAAAATTAATAGTTGGGGACTTCTTCCCTCTGTCCGTCTCAATGCACCTTGTAATGCCTTTCATGTATGTAAGTGTAGAAAAATACCTGGTGATCCTGCCATTCCCCTTCATGAAGTCCCTATTTTTGTTCTAACCACACTAAAAATTGAAGCAGATCCATCCTAGCCTGGTTAGTTTGCATCCTTGCTTACCACCTAGGAGTTATGGGGCACCGCGCCTCTGAACAAGTTGTTAGTAGGCTTAATGGCTAGTTGAGTTTTTGTAGCTGATACGCATCCGTCCCAGAGCTTCACAGCTGGAGAGGCAGTGTCTCTGGGACTTGTGACATCATTGGCAACATTGTTTTCAGTCTCCACTGCTGACTTGCCCCTCTTTGATCCCTTCACAGCTTGAGTGACAGCGCTTCTGGGACATGTCCTTTACAGTGTCTGCCCTTAGCCTCCCAGCCGATCAGCATAAAACCGGCCAATCAAGAAGCCGGGCAACAGCAGCTATTGACTGTATATCCATTGCCAAAGCCAAAGTATATCCAAAGCCAAAATGGTTAAAAAACCCTATGAACATTGTTTTTTGTGTTTTGTTTTGTTTGCACTCCTGTGCTTTATTATGGAGATTTTACCTCTGTTCTTGTCTTGGAGACACTACAGGAAGTAAGGGAAAATCCCCTCCCTGCTTGAGACACATTTATCAAAATATTACCCTCCATGCTGTAGCTTAAATGACAATCCCAAAAATATTTATATTAATATATATCTTTTAATTAATTAAATTAGAGTTAGGCCCAGCACCTGGTTGCATGATCCTGTGCATCTTAAGAAATGGTGTTGTGACTGAACACTCAACTAAGGCTTTGGCTTTTAATTGCAGAAATGAGGGTGAATATTTATATATTTTGTTGTTTTTTACTCTAGGTTCATTGTGATTCTGGTTTTTAGATATTCAGCTGTTGGGTCTCTGGACTGCAATCTTATTCCTATAGTTATCTTTTAGTTGCCAGCTTTGTGTGCTGCCTTCCTAGTTGAATTTTTGCAGCTAGGTTTTCAGGTCATGCTGATCTATTACTGTTTAACTTTTTGAATCTGGACTTTTTTGTATATTAATAACACAAATGGTTTTATTTTATTTTTTGCAGCTTGATTTTTTTGAACCCCACTATTGGACCTTTACAATTCTGGGATGTCTTGTGGGTTGTTGGTATCACAGATTTTATTGTGAAATTTATCTTTATGGGCCTCAAGTGTTTGGTCCTGCTGGTGCCTTCATTTATTATGTCACATAAATGCAAGGTAAGGATATTATTATTATACAGGATTTATATACCGCAACAGTTTGCGCAGCGCTTTACAATATAGGGAAGACATTACAATCACAATACAAATCAAGACAAGATGGTAAGGATATTACAGTAATTGTATGTTGCTTAGCACTTGCCTCCTTTTTTAAAATGTTTCAATGCATTTTAAACACTGCCAGCATGAATACCTGAATTAATTTATGTTGTCTTCCTTTAATCCCCTGCACTATACTGGTAAAGACTGGGAAAGGGAGGGTCTCCGGGGTGTCCTCTATTCGGGTTTATCACTGTCAATTTAAGTAGAGCTATGTCCTCCAATTAAAAAGTTTCTTTAAAGGAGAACTATGGGGTTAAGGCATTTCCCCATAGTTCTCCTTAGGGTAACGGGAGGACACAAACTAGCGTCCTCCCGGCACCCTAGGCTGTAGCTCAAGGTATACGGAGACGCAGCAGCTGAAGCGGATCCTGACAATTGTGCCGGGATCCGCCCAGCTGCGTGACTGACAGCTGGCTCTGCCTATCTAGAGGCAGAGCCAGCTGTACCCGCCCCCTCCCCGGTCCGTTCCGCCAGTCAGCGCTGGTCTCCAACCGTCATGCCTCCGTTTTTTGTTTGTGGCCTGGGAATTTGGAAACATTTGCCTCAGCTCTGCTGAGAAACTCTATCTATATTATGTGTTCTATTAACATTATTGGTACTCCATGCTAATACCATCAGTCAAGACTTCTAATCTGTTTCAGCTGGTCTATACACAGCAGCTTTCTGGATAGGTGCTTCCTTGGAGGCTGTACCCAGACCCTGCTGGACTTAAGATTGCAGGGCCTGTCTGTAATGCGACCCTAGGGTACTGGGCTCTGCTTGTGGCTCTTCCCAGATACTTGGTGTACTGGTTTGTTCGCTGCAGAGCACTTTGCAAAGCCATTTCACAGCCTGGTGTGAACCAGTCTCTGTGTAAGACCTTTGACGGGGCAAACATTTACTGGAATGCGACAGTTGGCCACTGCGCTATTCTTCTCAGCGCTTTTCAGACTTGTGGGTATTATCAGTTAGCCAGAGAGCACTCTGCATTTTTAGAGCAGTGGTACACACTCTGGCTTAACCAGTCTCTACTGTCTCCCCGTGATGCAGATATATTTGTAAGTGTTATCTCTACTATAAGTTCTGCTGTGGATGCTTTCCAGAGCCGTATGTACTGGTCAGTTAGTTGTAGAACACTACCTAAATTTTAAAATGGCAGTACAGCCTTCGGTGTAACCCAGCCTCTGATAATTTCCTGTGAAAAATTACCTCAGGAAATAGTGAAATCACCAATACTGTATGTTACCTCCAGATGCTGCACTTGTGGGGCTTCCCCCAACCTGTGACTTTAGTCAAAAGAGCGCTACCCACTTTGTCCATAACTTGCATTGTCTGATGCAAATTTAATTCATCTCGGCCATAGGAATTCACAGCCCTTGTACTGTGCTATTAGTTTCCAAACCCAGAGTCGTGGCACAGTTTCCATGTGCCTTACTCTCTGAACACTGACACTATCACTAGATGTCTATTGTGGTGTACACATTTTCATATGTGACCTTTATTTACTGGATACTGCTTTAGTATAGAGCTGTACACTACAGCCTCCTATTCAGATCAAGTGGCTCTTCTTTAGATTGTGACCATGAACCTTTCACTCAATAATGAGCCGAGTTGTGACTCATTGGAGTCAATTAAGGGAGACCGATCCCACCCCTCTGTGTTTTAGTATCATGCTCTCAGTACTGCTTTGCGATAAGGGGTTATCATGGGCTTACCTACAGTTTTATTTGGTTGTCAGTGTCCAATCCTACTGTAGGCAGAAATATAATTTGAAGGTTTGGCTTCCTATGTCCCTCAGTAGACAAGAAAGAAATATATGCAGCAGTGCTTACTGTGTGGAATCCCATGTTTGTGTATTAGCATATAGTATGTGAAGGTAGTTCCCCCAAATCAGAACATCACTCAACAAAAAAATTAACTACTTTTGCACATAAAATATTAGGTTGGAATCGTAACTTTTTTTTAGTTCAGTTATCAATCACATAAATGTAAATACATGTGTTTAAAAAGGTTTAGAGTGTCTCTTGGATTAATGATGTTGCCATTCTTCTCTAGGGCTATTGGTACATGTGCTTAGAAGAAATTGCACAGTATTATTGTATGCTTGTGTCAACACCAGTATGGTTCCGTTATTTGATTGATTATGGGGCCCAGACCAGTGGAGCAGAATGGCATTTTGGTGTTTTGTTGGCTTTGCTCTACCTCATCATAAAAGTAAGATATATAGATATATATATTTATGATTGCTTGCTGTGTTACTATGTGTTTTGGCTCTTAGGAGTCAACATCTTTTGTTGAAACAATGTTTTTCACAAAGCTATTATATCCCATGCCCCTTTCAGAAATAGCAAATTGTTACTGATTTTTTTTTTCTTATATAATGAATGTAATATGTTTAGAGCTGATAGAATTTGCTGCAAAGGATTTTAATGTATGTAACAGTACATTTTACTTATTCAGGTGCGAGCTATGATACTACAAAACATCCTTTTAAACCTTTTACTGCCACAGACGTAAGTGTTTTGTCAGAATGGATCAGTGATCCTTCTGTCTGCGGCATTCCCTTAGATTGTAAGCTTCAGGAGCTATGAGCATAAGAGTAGAAGGGTCCTCTAGACCAGAGGTCCCCAAGTCTGTGAGCAACTGGGCCGCAGCTGCTGGTCCACGGTCAGGGCCGGATTAACATGGAGTCGCGTGGAGCTCCTGCTCCAAGCCTGCACCTGCAAATAGGCCCAGCCGGCCCTGATTGCCTCGGTATCCCTGATGGCAATCTGTGTCGGTTACAATCCGGCAGAGGCGGCCCTCTAATCACGCCGTAGTGAGGAGCAAGTGGCCGCCTAACTAGAGAGCTGCGTCTGCTGTGCCCGCAGCCGACAGTGCGAGTCTCTGGACCCCTGGTAAGAGCCCGCACAGGCCACCTATGAGAGCAGGAAAACAAGCTCCGGGCTCCCACTGAGTCAGCATTATGGTGAGTTGTATAATTATATTGCAATATAATAGAAATAAAGTGCACAATAAATGTGTTTGAATAATCCCTAAACAACCCTCGCATCGCCCAACCTCCCCTCTTGCACATTTTTCTTCCACAAAACTGGCTCCTGGTGCCAAAAAGGTTGGGGATCACTGGTGTAAACTCATGAGATTCATGAATAGCTGTGAGATTAGTACACATGTCTCTTCAGTTTCCTGAATGAGCACTCCTAACTGGTCGGACACACGCGCACACACACACACCTTGGTATGCCAACAAATAACCTTGGAACATCATTTTCTTTTTGGGCCAACAAATCCATTTTTTTTCTCCATCTCTAGAAGATCCTGGTGACTTTTACGTTTAGTTAGCGGTCTCCAGATTGCTAAATGTTTTCCTCTATCTCTGTGTTATTATGAGAGTCATTTCTGACCTAGTTTGAGTTCTTTATGTTGCTGCCAGTAAATGAAGCTAGCTATTAAAATGGCAAACCGCACCTAATGAAAGAGTTTTTTTTTTTGTTTTCATTTCAGCTTTTTGTGGTTTTTGGACAATGGAAAGCATCTGCGGATATCTTGCGACTGTTTTGTACTCAGCCTGTAAGTAATCTGAATACAGTCTGTAATTGCACAATGAATATAAAAAAGAAATCTAACATCTCAATGTTGTGTTTTAAGTGGAGCGGCATTGACTTAGGTACATGTTGGCAGCCAGTGCTTAGCACATAGGCCTACAAAGTTGTCTGCTCCTACCAACTTAAATCATTTCCTGATGGCTTGGGTTATACGGGCTGTTTTCAGAAGCTGTCCTTTTTTGTTTTACTGGCAGCTGCCTAGTTAGATTGTTTTTGCAGTTAAGCACTGTATCTGCTTTTTTTTTCCCTTCCAATCGGTGATATAGATTTTATATTCAGACCATGTTGTTACGCATCATTTTATCCCCTTACTTTCGTAGACTAAAAGATGTAGGAGGTGCTCCCATTCATTATTAGTTTAAAAAAAAAAAAAAAAAAAGTCCAGCATAGCCAAAATAAAAAAAAAAATAAAGGATGGAAAGGCGATATAACTTGTAAAAGATGCTTTTTTTGGTCAGCAAATAGCTGACTAGCTATAGAAATGTTAATATTTTTGTGTTTGCATTGGAAATACAGGCATATATTTTGTGTGAAATGTTTACTTGGCCATAGCTGTGTTTTTTTTTTTTTGTTTTTTTTTTCCTTTGCCCATACTTTGTTGAAGAAAACCTGCCTCCCAGGCTGGTGTTAAGCCACGTGGAACTGATGTCTTTATTATCTTGCAACACTGCTGCACAACAAGCACTTGTTCAGTCCAGCAGGGAATCCACCATCTCTTCTTTACAAATGCAAATCTCATGTTGAAATGTGTGCCCTCTTTCAGAATCAAGCCACCATTCCTTTTTAGTGAACAGAAGCACAGGGATTTTTTTTTTTAATTAGTTGACATACATTTTGCAACTGCCGGAACAAATTTAGCATGTTGTGTGTCCGGGATTATCACTTATGTGGTATGTGAGCTGTACTGTAAGGGAAGGCCACCTTAGATACCTCTTTTGCATTAGAGGCATGCAAGGTCTAAAAATGTTTTATTGCTGGCAAGGTACGGGGGTCAAAAAGTAAGATCTTCATGTCTGTAATTTGAGATCTATAGAGTAAATATTCATGTACCACGTTCTAGAGGTGTCCTTACCCCACTAATGTATGCTTTTTCTTTTTTAGGTTGAGTGATTTAGAACCATGGCTGTGCGGCTAAAACAATGAGCTGTAATTGAATTTCAAGCAAAAGAAAGTGGCGCGCCTAAGGAAATCCATAATTGGCTAAATGTTTATGGGGATGCTGTAGTGGAATTTTGGTTTCTCCTACTTGAAACCTCTTCATCCAAGGCTGCACATTGCTTATGTCCACTCCAATTGTGCATTTCCTTAGGTGCACCACTTTTTTTTGCCAGAAATTCAATTACAGCTTGTTGTTTTAGCCGCAGAGCCATGGTTCTACTCCCTTAGTCTGAAAAAGAAAAGCATACATTAGTGGGGTAAGGACAGCTCTATAACATGGTACATGAACATTCACAGTCACTCTAATAGATCACAAATTGCAGACATGGAGGCATTACCTTTTGATTGACCCTCGTATGTGTTTGTATTAAGGTTATTCCCTTAAAAAGCAGCTGAACTCTGGAAACTGTGCCAAAAAAAACAAACTGGAAGGCAGTTGGTAAATCTCCCCATTACTGACTTACCATGCCTTTTTCTGTATGGTGTCCCTGTTCGGGGTGGCCATCTTGGTAGTGGGAGGGCTTTGCTTGCTCGTTTCAGTCTTCAGCAAAGATAACCGGAAGTAGCACAATAGTGACATCACTAAATCTCAGTGCTTTTATAAAACGAAAACTCCCCTGCCATATTCATTACTGCAAATCATCATCTTGGGTATGGAGGAGAGGGGGACAGAGATGCAACCACAGCACTGAGATCTTTGAGGGCTACAGCCAGAGCGGGCAGCGAAGCTCAGCAGAAGCTGAACTTCCACCCGATTTATCTGGGGATTTACAGGGAGAAGAAGCCACTACTGAATATGGCAGGTGGGTTTTTAGAAAAGTAATCTTACTGGAGTACAGAAAATTGATTTGGTCTGGAGTTAGGCTCTAAAATGCCTTGCTTATGTCTGTCAATATTTAAATTTCATTCATACATTTTTTTTCTATGTTACAAGTATGCATAAAAAATGTATATAATACTTAATTCCTGGCGCTAGTGACAGCTAGTGTTTCATAACCTTCCCAGAGAGAAAACGATCCTCACACAGTGTCCTGCTGCTCCGCAAGGACCAGGGAACCTTCACTGCAAAACTGAGAAAACAGAGGCACAGAGCGCCCAAACCATGTTTAGAAATCGTTTTATTGAAATAAACAATAAAAACATACAAAAGGTATAACCGTGAAGAGCCTACCAATATCCTCCAGTGTGGGAAGTGCACAACCCGTATAGTAGAAATCTCACACAGATGACACTGATTTGCCAGATGGCTTGCCGCCTCACAGCCGGTCGCCTATGTTCACGGCTGACTCGTTTCCAGGGCACGCCCCCTTCATCAGAGCCATGTACACTTCCCATACCGGAGGATATTGATAGGGGCTTTGCTGTTATTGCTATGTTTTTATTGTATATGATTATTGAAATAAAATTATTCTAAACATGGTTTGGGCGCTCTCTGCCTCTGTTTTCCCAGTTTTGTATAAACGTTGTTATAGTGACCATTGATTTGACCTACATTTTGTGTTCACTGTACGAAAGTAAAAAAAGATCTAGTGTATGTATTTTTTATTTCAGAGTTATGGAGCAGCTGCATCTAACCGGCAATGTTCAGAAGTTGATGACATCTGTGCAATCTGTCAGGCTGAATTTAAAAAGCCAACAGTACTTCTGTGTCAGGTAAAAATACTGACTTTCTGGTTTTTATGATGTTATTTAACTCCAATTATATCAGTTAGTTTGCAGCGACACTGCAACAACTTGTATGCCCTAAGCACAAAAGTCACTATCCAACCCATACATCTTTTTTATTTTCTATTGTCTCCTAAGACTGTTTAGCCCAATAACATTCAATTATTTATGGGGAGAATTAAGAAAAAAAAAAGACGCTGTGATGTTGTTTTCTCCCAAGGAGCAGTCTTCTGAACTCTACACATCCCTCACCCCTGCCATGGCCAGTATCTGGAGATGCAGCTGTCCAGGGAAAACACACAAATCCTTCAGGGCCCAGCGATGTGCAGAGACTTAACAAGGTTATTCACACAAGGGGTGAAGAGTTTGGAGAAGGCAGGAGAAGTGAACAATCTAGAACAGGGGCGCCCACAATTTTTCGTCCGGAGATCTACTTTTCAAATGAAGAGCTCAATTAGATCTACCAGCGAAAAAACACCTGCATTCAGGGGCGGGAGGAGGTGTGGCGGTGCATTGAATTCAATGGCACCGCAGCCAGGCCCCTCGCCCACAGTGCGATCGCCTGCACCCAGAACCCAGGCACATTAGTGCCTGCGTTCCAGTCCAGTGCGATCCGCAAAAATGCTGCCAGCACCTGCGTTCCGGGTGCAGGCGATCACACTGTGGGCGGAGGGCATGGCTGCGTTGCCGTTGACTTCAATACAACCCCACGCCCCCTCCTGCCCCAGAACGCAGGGAGTCGGCCGCCTTACGTTTTAGTGCGTCCTAAAAGGCCCCTGCGTCCTGTCCTCCCGCGGTGCTCGTGTGGCCGATATTGCACATGGCGAGAGGTGTCCTGCCCCTTACCATCTGCTGCGTCTGACACATTCAGCCGCACGACCACGGTGGGAGCATAGCCGTAGCCAGCTCCTTTTGCGCCCGAGGCAAGAAAAAAACGTCCTTATTTAATTTTTTTTCTTTTTTTTTTTTTTGTACTCTTGGGGAGGCTACAGTGAAATATCTGGGGTCTAAACAGACCCCTGATATTTCCATTTTAAAATAGAAAAAGAAAATGAGGACACAAAGTCCTCAATCTCTTTTTCTGCAGCCTCTGTTCTAAATGAATGGGAAGCACAGAGGCTTCCCATTCATTCAGAAAATATTTTAGTATCATCCAGTTTCTGAATGGGGAGGAGCTCCTCCCCATTGAGAAACTCATGAATGAACAGGACGTGATTTAAATCACATCCTGTTCATTCATAACTGGGGACACAGTACTATGTGTCCCCAGTTATTTACAAACGCTGAGTGATCAGCTGATCACTCCAGTGTTTTGTCCTGCACGGAGGACCGGTACATATCACCGATACTAAGTATCAGAACTAAGGCTGAGCGGTGTGGGGAGAGAGCAGCGCTGCTGTCAGACCCTGGCCGAGCGTCTCTCCCTCTCCTCACCGCTCGGCCTTAGTTAAGTGACAGCGGCTCCGTCCTTCGCCCCGGCCGCAGCGGCTCCTTCACTTCTCCTCGGATCCCCGCTGCATACAGATGGGGATCTAGAGGAGAAGACCCACGGGCAGGAGGAGAGGACATCGCGATCGACTGGTAGATAGCGATCGACCTTATGGGCACCCCTAATCTAGGACAACATAGCTGAACTGGAAAGTGAGCAGAATTGGAGAGGTTTTCCAAATCGGCTATTTTGGCCTAGATTGTTCACTTCTCCTGCCTTCTCCAAACTCTTCACACTTTTGTGAAAAACCCTGCAAGTTGAGTGGACTGCTCCTTCTTGCCTTGTTTCCCAAGCGTTTGTGAATTTATGACTGCTTTTATTTATTTCATAAATCTGTATTTATTTACTAAACTGTGGTTGGCTGCACTGCTCTCTCACTTTTCTGTTAACAGTTTAAAGTGACACTAAACTCGGGCGTTAAATCTTAAAAATGCATTAGGTACCTTAACCCCTTTACGAATGGAGACGTACACTATATGTCTGATGTCTCCATAAAGAGGACCTGTCACTCTTGTTAAGCAAAACAAATGGCAAACGCACTCCTCAATTCGTTACCAGCTTTACAGCAAGGTGCACATGAAAGGGCTTAATACAGTACAACAACAAAAAGTTTCCCAGCACACTCACCAGCCAGCATGCAAAAAATATTGTATGTATGTATTAAGCCCTTCCATGTGCACCTTGCTGTAAAGCTGGTAACAAATTGATGAGTGCGTTTGCCATTTGTTTTGCTTGACTGATTTGGTGCAGTGACACAAAGGGGGTCTCAGCTGCCGTTGTGATGTGTGGGGTCCCTTGTGCGTGCCTGTGCCTTTTTAAGGGAGGTTGGGCTTCCTCCTGACAAACCTGCACCCAATTTAATCTTTTGCCCCATGTGCTCCAAGATGGAGACTCTCATAGTTTAGAGTTTGGACCGCACTATATGGAGGTGCCTTGGTGTGGCTTTCACATTTTCTGCAGAAGACGTGTATCTAAACCTCTGTTTAGAGTTGTACTGTCACTCTTGTTAGCCCCCTATGTGATCGCAATAAAGTTAAATGTAAAAAATTATAGTGACATATAAAACACACAAATGTTTGTAAAACCCTTCACCCCCATATACACGCACTTACAAATGCAAACATGCCTTGGGTGTGTCCTACGTGCACCATACGTTGCATATGGCTCCGAACATCAGAGTGAAAGCAATAAGCAATTTTAAGGCTTGACATGCTTTGGTATCTATTTACCTGACACAACCCCATCTTTCATATTTAGCCCAAAAATTGGATATTCTATTGTGTTTGCGTGTGCTCTAAAATTAATTTTCGTGTATTTTTCAAACAAAAAATATCAATTTGGTAAACATTTGTGCAAATATCATGTGACCTAAAAAATTGCAACTAGTTTTTTTTATTCTACAGGACCTCTGCTTTCAGAAAATAATTGTTATGGGGTGTTAAAGTTGTTTTCTAGCCAAGAATTCAGATTTTAACTGTGCAAAAATAAAAAAAATGCTGTGGACATGAAGTGGTTAACTAACTTTAGTAATGAGTCACATGTGATATGACAAAGGATGTGCACAGGTCATAGGTTTCCAAATTAAGCCTGCTGGCACTATATTAGTACGTAACTTGTCAAACATGGTGCAGCGTAACTACAGTATACTGTATAACGTTCAATAAAGATGTCATCAGCACACCAGCAGGACAGAATCCAAGTCAGTGCAAATCACTCATTATACATACATACATACATACATACATACATACATACATACATACATACATACACAATGTGTTGTGGTTCTGTATTATACCATGTCTACTCTGAATCAGATGAAGGGGACCCTGTGTGGCCAGAAAGCGTTTGATGTTTTGAGTGACATCTATCAATAAATGAATTTGCACTGACTTGGATTCTGATTGTGTGCTGATGACATCTTTATACAAAGTTGTACTGTGTGCCATCAGCGGTCATTCCTAGCACCCACCAACACTTTGGGATTTCCTGTAAGGAGTGCTACAAGACTTATGGACATTTACAGAATACTGTATTGTCTCCAAGATGCAAGGAAGCCTCAGCTGCCGTAGCAAGAGGACTTGTTACTAAAACTACAAAAATGTGTCTCACTGTTTTATTCTAATGCCTTCAGTCCATTCAGTGAAGAGGCACATTTACTTTCTAGATATTGTAAAGTGATTGTAATATGTTGTGAGATTTAGTGTATTTTGTAATGGTTCGGATATTAATTACAACCTTGTTTTTTTCTCTATTAGCATATATTCTGTCAAGAATGCATCTCACTGTGGCTCAATAGAGAGAAGACATGCCCAATGTGCCGCACTGCCATTTCTAGCCATATCCACAAGTGGAAAGATGGCGCCACATCGCTACAGCTACGCCTCTTCTAGTCTTCCTCTGCTGTGCTCTGACTGCTGAACACAATTTCATCTTCTCATTAGATTGATTGTTTTACCAAAAACGTGTTTTAAATCAACATTATTTTTTCTTTTAGAAGGGCTAGATATTTTTGATGTAAACTTGGTTTACTGTATGTCATCTCTATGCAAATGTAGGACCTTGCTTCCAGCTAAATACACAATTCAAAGATTGTATCTGCCAAAATATATTCAGTTTTCTGTTCAGCCACCTGTTTAATTTCCACTCTCCTGCAACACTCTGTAGCCAGGATGGCCATATTAAAAAGCAATGCCTACCCATTAGACCATGAATAGACCTAGTCACTGCTAAAGTCTTACGAGTGCTCCCCCCTCACTCCTGTTAGTAGCAAAACATTTACTGCTCAAGCCTCAAGTGTAGGGCTGAAACAACAAATCAATTTTGCTGATAATGAGAATAGTTGTTAATGATTCACATTATCGATTAGTTGATCTGTGCTCAGTCCCCTCCTGATTTCCGCTGCTCCTCTCAGGGATTAGAGGTGGCACAGACCCCTGCAGCTGGTCCCCAGCGGTGCGGAGAGCTCCCTACAAACCTTTTGTTTAGACCTGTGATATTTCCCCAAAGCCTGTAACAATAAATAATTAAAATAAAATGATAAAAAAATTATGGTTTTGGCCTGACAAATTCTGGTGCAGGAGGTGCTATTGATTTCAATATCCCCAAACCACGCTTCCCGGCCGCACCATAATACACGGTATTGCAATGCTGTGCAATTGCAAAAATTGTGCAAGCAGTTTTATTATGAAGTAAACTTTATTTGTGTATTTTATTTTAAATAAAAGATTAATCAAACAAAATAAATCGACCAACTAATCAATTATAAAAATAATCGTTAGTTGCAGCCCTACATGTGTTTGCTCCATATTAGATTGGCAGCATTAAGAAATGAAATGGAGCCCTATTAGCTTGCAGTGTATAACCTCCCACTCTGTCTGAATTCTGCTGTGCAGGAAAAATAAACCGATACATATCAGAAATGAATACTGGCAATATTTACAAATGTATTTCATTGAGTTTTAACAAACACACAGATTTTCTAAGGGGGTGTCCTTTCCTTATTTTCCCGCCTAAAAGCTTCATTAGCATGAAATTGTAAGATTTACAGTGCACCTATTCACAGATAACTATAGGGATACATCTGAGCAAATTGCGATGTATAATTTTGAGTCCAGAAACTACACATTTGGCAGTATAATGGCATTAAGGGAAACCAGAGACCTCACCTTTTTAAATCTTAAATGGGCAAGGTGTAAAGATTGCAATAGACAGCTGACATTTTGGGCAATCTGGGCACCACCCAGCTCTACAAAGTTGTTTGCCAGTCAAGCAGCAACTACATCCTATTGGATGCAGTCACTGTTCGGGTATTCAGACAGCCAGCAATCTAAAATATTGTCTAGTTCTAAAACTTGAATACCTCTGGAAAAAATAGCTGCAGGTAGTTTATTCTTTCATACAGAATAGTACTTCTGGGCTAAGTTAAATACATTTAGTAGGTGTAGCTAGTGACTTTATTGCTGCTGCAGTGATCTCCCTCATAATTCATTTGAGCTTCTCTGAGCAAAAGAGAAAAAAAAAAAAGGGGGCGGGGGGTGTAATTTTCCCATGATAGGTTTTCAGCCCCTGTCCTACGTCTGTGGAAATTGGAAAGTAGCTGTTAACTAGAATGGATGCATCGCACTCAAACATGGAAGAACCAAAGCACAGCAATTCCGATTTTTATTTATTTATATGTGTGTTTATGTGTGCACCTTCCACTTTTCTTGTCCTTTTCTAGACAAACTGGTCAACTCTCTGGCAAACCAGCATTTACGAGATGTTCTGCATTGGATGGTATAAATCCATGCTTTACTAGCTGGCATCCAGCCAAACTTATCAGTGCTATTCCTTTCTGTCTATACTGAACCTAGATTATATTCTCAGCACAAATTTTAGCAAAGATTATGAGAGAAAGATATATATTTTTTTGCTAGTCTTTTACCACAGTTTTTGCTGCCCATCTTGAAACAGAATGTATTCTGATAAAACGCATTTTTCATTGATTGACAATTTACTGAAAACGGATTTCTGTACCTAGGTCATGTACGGGGATGTGAACAATCCTGTTTATTTATAATGAACAGTTTAAATAAAAGCATTTTGCTCTTCTCAGTTGTGTGGTATATAAATGATCTACAGCCTGGTTTATGCATAAGGTTTTAACATTGTGTTCTTGAGTACTAATAAAATTGTTTGCAAAAGTGAACTTGGGACGACATATCTTCAGCTAATCCTCTCGATTAAAGGAGAAGTATTGGGTAAAATGTACTCTTCCCGAAACTTAGAGGCAGCGTGGGACCCTGCAGCTTTCACATCACAAACCGCTGATCACTCAGCTCACAGCTTCTCCCTGCAAAGAACAGTCACTGTTCCCCTCTCTATTCCTCCAGCGCTTATTGGAGAGCTAAACAGGGGTAGGGTAGGGGGCGGGTACAGCTGTATCTAGAGAGGCGGAACCAGCTGGCAATCAGGTAGCTAGGTAGATACTGGCAATATTGTCAGGATCCTTCTCAGCTGCGGCACTGCTCTGCGTTGTCAGCAAATAGAAGGCACTAGCCCACTATATTTTGACTTTAGGATGCAGGAGTAGATTAGTAAATGCACTCCTGTGACCCAAAAGAAAAGTAAAGCCAAAAAAAGGTTTGATTTTACTTCTGTTTTAACATGGTTATCTTACCCCATGATCTGATGGACCCATGAGGCTTGGGAAACACTTTGGTTTCTACTAAGCCAGTATTGTAAATTTCCCTGGCCATGTTTACATCACAGTTATGTAAAATACAGCTTAGGACTGGTAAGCTGGAGCTGACATTTAAGTTCTGGGACCTATGGGCATAAAGAAATTATTGGATTGGCTGTGCTCATTTTCCCTCAAATGAATAGGGGTGGATGACAGCCCTAGAAACTATAAACTTTGTCTATAATTAAAAAAAATAGGAATATTAAAAAAAAAAGGAATCTTTTGCCTTTGAGCCCATACCATGGCAGCAGCTAGCATAGCACTGAGTGCTTGTGAGAGCTGCAGGTCTAAGGCGATTTAATGATGTAGAACTTAAGGTGCCCACACACACACCTTGCGATGGTTGTAAGGTGTGTGCCCAGCCTAAAGCTGGCCATACACCTTACAATTTATCTGCAGATTTTCTGTGGTCAGATGGAAAAGGTTCAACAGATTCCTCCATCTACACTAAACTGTGTGGATGGAGGAATCTCCACCTGGGCAATCTGTTGCACTTTTTCCATCTGACCACAGAAAAAATGTGAGGTGTTTGGGCACCTTTTAGGAGGAGTCATCTGTGATGTCCTGAGCTCAACTCAAGTGGGTTTTACGATGCAGTCTGTAACCAAGGAAGAGGACTTGATCAGCTTTAAAGTGAGTATTGGTGCAGGAGTTGTTTTATTTTATTTATTATTAATGTAAGTGCTGGTGGTCAAAAAATTAAATGTCAAAAAAAAAAGCTGGAATTGGGCTTTAAGCACTGCCCAGATTTTCCTTTAAAAGACTGAAAGCTTTAGTTAACAGGAAGATTTTATAGAAGAAAAAAAATAAGGGGAATTTATCAAAATGGGAGCAGACAGAAACAGTTCCCCAGTGGAAATTATCAGCTTCTCTCTTTCATTTTCAAAGGCTCACTGAACAAAGTGAAGAGGGAAGTAGATTGGTTGCCATAGGAAACTGCTCCAGATTCTATCTGCTCCAGTTTTAATAAAATCCCTATAGTGAAATTAAAATGCTGGTTGGTGATGAGAAGATATAAAATATATAGATTTAGGTAAAGCACACAAAAGTCCACATGGCCCATAAATAGTATTTTGTTAATACATTTTAGATCAACACCAGGAAAGTGATACAATATTGGCTAATCCTGTGCCATTATAAAAACGAAGCCATATTAGCTCTGAGCATCCTTATATTACATTAAAATAATTTGCCACGGTAACGTTTTGTGGCACATAAGAAGGTTTTTTTTGTTTTTGTTTTTTAGACAGCAAAATTCATGTGGTGAAAAAGACATAGACCTTTATATAGGATTTATGAACAACAATGTGAGCTTTTTAGACTGCTTACAAACAGTAACTGGGAGACATTTTGATCTGTCATATAATGGAAGCACATATATAGTTTTTCTTTGTTAGAGAGTAGGCAAGTATTTTATTCTTGGTACAAGGATATGAAATTAAAAACGCACTGTATTCATTTAGTCCCATTTGGTCTGTTAAAACTACTGCTGAAAGCATTTTGTTATCTGTTCAATAAATTAAAACATGCCTGTTGATATTACTGAACTCTTATGAGCTGGTAACATCCTGTGCTGACTGTTTTCAGATAGCATTAGTGGCTGCTCTTGGTAGACTACAGAACACAGGAGGCTGTGTACGGTTTCAGGAGGGTCCCCGGGGTCGCCAGTGCTGTGCACTGTCTAAAGAGGGTCCCCGGTCAGTCTTGCCAGTGCTGTACAATGTCTCAGTAGGATCCCGGTTAGTCTTGCCAGTGCTGTGCGTGGTCTCATTTCCCATTTCAGCAACTGTACCCCTTAGGGAGGGGGGAGTATAGTGGTATTGATGTGCATAACATCATGGTAAAGCCTGTGTTACAGTCATTAGTAGAGTCAAGTTGTAGTTAGACAAGAAATTGTGTTACCAGTCCTGTACTAAATATTACTACACTATCACAACATAAAAAGGACAAGCACAAGAATTATGACGTAAGCAAGCAACATGTGATATTTATATTATAATAAAAGAGCATACACATGTCATGTAAAGGGCTTAGGAGTTTGAACGTGAACTGGATGCAACACTGCATATAACAAACACTGCGATGTAAGCACAAGACATTACATAAATGTCCTAAACCTCTGCAGATGATAAAATACAGTAGACTACTACACTAGACATGTGCAATTAATTTTGTTCGGAATCAAAATTTGTACAAAATTTCGGACATTTCAGATCCCATCTGAATTTCATTTAAAAACTACATTGAATCAGACATGTGGCTTTTCTGGGCAATCAGATGTGTTTTAGAACAGAATACTA